TGGGTGAGGATAAAAAAAAAAAGAGGTAACCCCCCATTTTTACTATTCTGTTGGAATAATAATTGGCTTCAGCTATGAAATACAATAAATATTATCCAGGTAATAATAATAGAATGACAGTGTATTTGTCTGCTCTGGGAAACGTGAGTTTTACCTCTGTGGTGTTACTGTTGGAAAAGTGCCTGATTCTTCACCAGCTTTCACAACAGTTGGTTGGTTCCCTGGCATCATCCAAAAAGTGAAATATAAATTTTTGATTATTATAAACCAAAGTATTTATACATACTGGGTGTGTTCCAACCCATAACAGTTATGATCTTTACTGATGATCAAACGCATGAATAATCCCATTGTCAGCCATTTGGAGATTATTCAGGCGACTTCGTGAGTCCTTTGGGTGTCACCCTAATAGTTTGCAGGTGACTAGGGTGTTTGTGCCACCGCGTCCTACAGGACACCTGCTACATAAGGCCTCTCTGCCAAGACCAGGAGACATAGCAGGTCATAGACACAGGAAGACAGCCAGAATGAGGTAAACAAAAAAAGAGGTCCCAAATGAAAAAACAGGACACAACTCCAGAAAAAGAACTAAATGAAATGGAGGCCAGCACTCTACCAGACGCATAATTCAGACACTGGCTCCTAGGATGCTCAGCGAACCTGAGGGAAGAGTAGATGAATTTAGGGAGAACTTCAAAAAAGAGACAGTAAACACAAAAAAGAACCTGCCAGAAATGAAGAATACAGTAACTGACATGAAGAATACAGTAGATTTGATGAAGCAGAGGATCAAATCAGTGATTTTAAAGACAGGGTAGTGAAAAAAACCCAATCAGAACAGCAAAAAGAAAAGAAAAAAAGTGAATAGTTTAAGGAACCCGTGGGACAACATCAAATAGGTACCAACATTTGCATCATAGGGGTCCCAGAAGGAGAAGAAAGAGCAAGGGATTGGGAATCTATTTAAAGACATCGTGACTGAAAACCTGCTTAACCTGGTGAAGGAAATACACACACAGGCCCAGGAAGTGCAGAGCGTCCCAAACAAAATGAACCCAAAGAGGCCCACACCAAAACACATCGTAACTAAAGTGCCAAAGGTTAAAGATTAAGAGAGAATCTGAAAAGCAGCAAGAGAAAAGCAGTTAGTTACCTACAAGGGAGCTCCCATAAGACTGTCAGTTGGTTTCTCATCAGATACTTTGCAACCCAGAAAGGAGTGGCACGAAATATTCAAAGTGATAAAAAGTGAGGATCTACAACCAAAATTACCCAGCAAAGCTGTCATTTAGAATCAAAGGACAGATAAAGAGCTTCCCAGACAAGGAAAAGCTAAAGGGGTTCATCACCACCAACTCAGTATTACGAGAAATATTAAAAGGACTTCTTTAAGAAGAAGAAAAGAAGAAAAATATGAATAATAAAATGGCAGTAACTACATGCCTATCAACAATTTCTTTGAATGTAAATGGATTAAATGCCCTAATTAGAAGAAGCAGGGTGTGCCCCGGCTAGTGTGGCGCAGTGGGTTGGCATCGTGTGCACTGAGAATTTGTGGGTCTGATCCCATTAGTGGGGTGTAGGAGGCAGCTGATCCATGCTCTGCTCTCATATCAATGTTTTTCTCCCTCCTCTCTCTAAACATCAATACAAATATTTTAAAAAAAGACACAGTGTGGCTGAATGGAAACAAGACCCTTACAGATGCTGTCCATAAGAAACCCACTTTAGATCTAAAGACTCACAGAGGCTGAAGGTACAGGGGTGGAAAAATATTTTATGCAAATGTAAACAAAAAAGGGTGTGGGCCCTGGCAGGTTTGGCTCAGCGGTTAGAGCGTCGGCCTGCGGTCCGGAGAGACCCGGGTTCAGTTCCCGCTAAGGGCACGTACTTCGGTTGCAGTTTGTCCCTGGCCCTGATTGGTCGTGCGGGTGGCAGCCACTCGATGTGTCCCTTCACGTCGATGTTTCTCTCTCTCTCTCCCCCTTCCTCTCTCTCCCTCCCATTCTATCTGTACAAAAAAAAAAAAAAAAAAAAGGGTGTGGTAGCAATACTTACATCAGACAAAGTAGACTTTAAAATAGACTATAACGAGGCAAAGAATAACATTTAACACACAGTCATCAAGATAAGGATGCAACCTAGGTGTCCATCAATAGATGAATGAAAGAGAAGCTGTGGTACACATATACAATGGAATATTACTTGGCCATAAAAAAGAATGAAATCTTACTATTTGCGACAACATGGAAGAACCTAGAGGGCATTAAGCAAAGTGAAAGAAGTCAGACAGAGAAAGACAAATGCCACGTGATTTCACGTATATGTGGAATCTGAAAAACAAAACGAACAGACGTAGAGAACATTTTGACAGTTATCAGATAGGAGGAGTTGGGGAGCTGAGTGAAAAGTGAGGGGGGAAGCAGCACAGATGGGCAGTTATGGCGTAGCCACAGAGAGGTACAGCGCAGGGGCTGTATGGTGCCCGGTGGGGGCTGGGGGATCACTTTTTAAAGTGTCTGATTGTCTAACCTCTATGTTGTACACATAAAACAATAACATAAAAGAATGGTTAAGGTGGTACATTTTATGTTATGTGCATTTTGCCATAATACAAAAAATTGGGGACAAATCTTGTATCATCACATTTCACAGCTTTCCCCAAACTTTGGAGCTCGCTCAGCGAGTGACGCATGGGCCTGCACAGCCTTATGCTCAAGCACAAGTCAGACCTGCTTCTGCCAGGAAAAGATCTGAATTCATGTTCAATTTAAATTGATACATTGTAACCTGAAACTAATGTAACCACTATAAGTTTGTATGCCAACTGTAGTTACATGTATTTATTTATTTTTAAAAAATATGTTTTACTGATTTTTTTTAGAGAGAGGAAGAAGAGGGAGAGAGAGAGAAACATCGATGTGAGGGAGGAACATCGCCGCCTCCTGCACAACCCACTGGGGATCGAGCCCGCAACCCGGGCATGTGCCCTGACTGGGTCGATGCTCAATCCACTGAGCCACAGTGGCTGGGCTATACTTAAATTTTAAAATATTAAAAGTTAACATGCTAAGACATGTTCTCAGGAAAATTATTAAAAGGGCTGAGAAAGAGACTGAGCGGCATCCATGCGACTGGGCTGAAGCACCGCGCACAGTGTGTCCGCGCCCGCCTGCCCGACGCCGCAGGGTGGGCACAGGTCTAGGAGTGAGGGGAGCGAGGGTCGGCCTGTGGCCCCCGAATGGACAGGAGTGTGCTGTGCCCAGTGGGGGGATATTTCACTAAGAATTACATGGAGAAGCAGAAACGCTCTTACTGGTTTTATTAGACATGATTAAAGTCATTTCTTGTATTTAGTGAAAGAAAGGTGTTTACTGATCAGAAAGGACAGCAGAGACGGTGGCTGGCCCTGAAGTGAACCCGTGATGGGTCGGGCCAACCACATCCGAGAACCTCACTTAGGTCATAGGCTTGACCTCTTGTGTCCGGAGAAGTTCTGTAGCTCCGTGTGGCTAACTGTGCATCCTTAGGATAAATAACGGAATAAGATGATGCTAATCTGTACGTAAGGGGGGAGGTCCGGTGTGCCCTCTGGTGGGCACCGGCCCAGCCTCTCCAGGCCCGTCCAGGCCCTGCTTTTCTTCCCTAACTCGGCCACTGACGGCGGCTTGTCCCAAACCGGCGTCTGGGTTGTCCCGCAGTTGCGTGCCTTGAAGTTTTCTTACCCCTGGGGCGGTGCAGGGTGCTGAGGAGTTAGCTCCCCTCTGCTTCTGAAAGGGAAATGCTTGGGGCTGGTGCGAGATTGACGTCGACGTCTGAGCCTGATTCCCTGAACCAGTGGCTTCGCGTGTGGTCCCCCGGCCAGCCTCAGTGTCTCCTGCGAACTTGCTAGAAATGCGCATCTTGAGCTGCCGCACTCAGAACCAGGTGATGGATGCCTCTCAGATCCGAGCACAGGCAGACCGGTGTGGTCTGAGGGACGCACCCTTCACAGCATCCAGAGGATATAACGATTCATTTTGAGTAAAGTTGAGGCGCTTCGTTTTTGTGTATTTTGGAACCAGTATAATTCGTTTGCAGTTTTATCGACGAGCACAGAATCTGTCCTGCCTGATGCTTGAAGGTCCCTGTTGCAAGTGAGGAACAGCAGTTAGAACCCTCCGTCCAGACTAACAGAGGCCGTGTCGTCCCCAGATAGGTCGCCTCTGGCAGGTGACCTGGGCCTGTCCTGGCAGGTGGCCCGGGCTCTGTGCACAGCTCTCTGGGCATCTGAGGCTGGGAAGCCGGGAGGAGGGAGGGGCCCTGGGCGATTCCCAGAGCAAGAAGGACGAGGACCCCCTTTTTTCATCCTCATCGAGGATGTTTTCATTGATTTTTGGAGAGAGAAAGAGGAACATCGATATGAGAGAGAAACATCGATCGGTTGTCTCCTGTATGCGCCCTAACCTGGGATTGAACTTGCAACCTAGGTATGTGCCCCGACTGGGATTCGAACCCAGAACGTTTTGTGAAGAGAGACCTGCTCTGTCCCCCTGAGACCTGTGAGGTACCTTTTCACCAGGTTCCTTCTTTGTTCCAATTTTGCTTCCACCTCGGATCATTTTGAAATACAACTGTTTGGTCTTATTAAAATGTAAATTATATAAAGTCACTTCTTTGTTTAAAATGGAATTGTTCCAGGACTCCCATGTCCTTAGGAAAAGTCTCGAAGTTTCAGCTGTTCTTGCCTCCCCTGCGTCCGAGGGTGTGAGCCGCTCAGGGCCCTGCTGACGTGGTCCTGGGCCCTAGACCAGCCAGCTGATAGTCAACGTGGACATTGCTTTCCCTGCGACCCGTGTTGCTCTCAGGTTTCGTGTGGGAGCTGTCCCCTCCTGCTCACCTAGCGTCATGAGGACAGGTCCTGCTCGCCCCGGGGCCCAGGCCTCAGAGGCTCAGGGACACTGCTCACCCCTGTTGGTGCCCTTCCTGTTGTTGATTTTTGCCCGTGTCTTGTGTTGTAGTTTGGGGCTGAGTTCCGGAGGTTCTCCTTAGACCGTCACAAGCCTGGGACGTTCGAGGACTTCTACCAGCTGGTCGTGCACACCCACCACATCGCCAACACCGAAGTGACCATCGGCTACGCAGATGTGCACGGCGACCTGCTGCCCATCAACAACGATGACAACTTCTGCAAGGCGGTGTCCAGCGCGAGCCCCCTGCTCCGGGTCTTCATCCAGAAACGAGGTACCGCCGCTCAGAGCAGTTGTCTGTCTGCAGAGCCATGCTCTCTCGCCAGTGATCGGGGACAGGAATTCACATTCGCTTGGTCCCCGTTACTGCGTTAGAAAGGCTGAAACGTGTGCATTTTCCACTTTAAATAGTGTTGACTTTCAGTGTTTTCACTGGAAGGACATTAATTCCGTAACGAGGAGGCCTGAGTCAGTAACCCAAGAACGAACGTCATGGTTGCCAGTATGTTTCCCACTGTGTTCTGAGGACTGGAAAAATATGTCAGCTTTAAATTGTTACTCTGGTAACTTGAGCTCTTTGGGCCTGGTCTTGCTGTTACAGCATCAGAGCCTCATTTTAGGTTTGTTTTCTCTGTTTGCTAAGTTTCGGAGAACCTTAACGTTTCAAAATAACGTACCGTTGAATAACATGGGTTAGGGGGCATCCACCCCACAGGAGAAAATCTGTGTGTATCTTCGGGCTCCCCAGAGCGTAGCTGTCCCTGGGCACCCACAGGGCATCAGTTCCAGGACCCCCTGCGGACACCACAATCCGGGGCCGCTCAGGTCCTCTCTTGGGAGCAGCCTAGATCAGCACAGACGGCTGGCCTCCGCGTCCGCAGACCCCGTCACAGACGAGAAGCAGAGCAGGTGATCCTGATGGCTGTCCACGTGTCAGTGGACGCACACAGGCTGTCCCCGGGCTGTTCAAGGGAAAGAACCCCCTGAGGTGACGCTGGATATTCGGAAAGTGACAGTTTAGGGTTAACTTGGTCATGACTGTCCCTCCTTCCCCAAGGGCACCTTCCGTCACACCAAGCGCCCTCACGGAGCAAAGTGGCTGCAGCACCTCTCAGGTCACGTGTGAGCTGCGGTGACGTTCCCGTCCGCAGGAGGGGACAGTCCTGGTCGGGGCAGAGCCTGAGCACGGACAAAAGTAGCAGCTGTGGGTGCAGGTGGAGGCCCCGGGTCGCAGGGCCTGGTGCTCGGTGTCAGGCGTCTCCCTCGCAGACGTCCCGGGACCAGCGGGCAGCCTGGGCGCAGCTCAGAGCACGCCGGCCAGGGTCAGCTGCCGCGTCCTCGTTTGGGGTGATGGCAGGAACGCGTGGAGGGAAGGGCAGCAGACTGCGGACCTCGCTCTGCGCTATTCCCTGGCACGAGATCAGACAGCTCCGCTTCTGCCTTCTGCTGAGCCTGGCGTCCTGCCCACGACCCCGAGAAGTCAACGCAGCTGTCGCGTCCTGGCGATGGCCGGGGGCGGCCGTGGCCCTGCAGGGCCTGGCTCCGCGGTGGCTGCCGGGTCCTCCCCGTCCCTGTGGCCCCACCGCAGTCCTGTGGGCCGGTGTCGGTGCCCCTCTCAGGAGGGCCTGGTCCCAAGCACTCTGCCGGAGCGCCCCTGTCATCTGCTCTCTGTGCTGTGGCCGCTCACTGCTCCTGGGCTGGCTGCTGTCCCGCAGCTCTGCCTGCACCGGCCGCTCTGTGGTGTGGGCAGAGCTGTGGGTGCGAGGAGCCACGCGGACTGCAGACGCCTTGCGCTCTGTCCTCTGTGGGAAGGGAATGTGTCTGTCCCGCTGCGTGTGGGCGGGGCTTGGAGCCGGACAGAGGCTCTGTCTGCCCCTGCCGAGCCCGGTCCTCGTGACACTTGGCACCCTCGCTGTTGATCCCTGATGCTGAGTGAGACAGGAAGCTCCGGGCCGTGTCTGCAGGTGGGAATGCGCCACCTCCCATGGCCCTGCGGCTCGGGGGCCGGGGTCCTGCATCCTGTCCTCAGTGTTGCCCATCCTTCCTGTGACATCAGAGAAATAGCCCAGAGTTGGACGAGCTGGCTTGCGGTTCCTACCCCGTCTCATTCCAGCATGAACCACCCACAGCCCCACCTTTCTGCGTCGTGTAACAGCAAGGAGCTGGGGTGCCTGCGTGCAGACTGTCCGTCCAGCACGTCTCCCCAGCTGTGACCCAGCGCTCATGCCTCCTCGGAGGCACCCACCTCGGGCTGTTTTCAGGCCGAAACAGGGGACAGTTCCAGGTTCACTGGGTGTCAGTAACACTGTGCAGAGGAGCAGAACCTGCGACTTTGTTACCAATAGAAATCACGGAATTTTGTATTGTGTTAGTGGTAGTCAGATGTCTTCAGTGTCATTTACAGTAAATCATTGTTTTAAAACAACGGTGCAGGTTGTTATTTAATGTTAGAAAGAAAGCACATATAGTCCGGCCTCCATATCTGGGGGTTCTGCATCCACGGGGTCAACCAACCACAGATTGGAAATATTTTGGGAGAAATGTTTTAGTTTTGTTGACATGCTACATGGTGAGGCCTACAAGGTTGCAGACTTTTTTCCTTGTTATTTTCTAATCAATATAGTTTCACAACTATTCACCCAGCATTGACACTGTATTACGGGTTCTAAGTAATCTAGAGATGATTCAAGGCCACCGGGGGTGTGCGGAGGTTATATTCAAACAGCACATCATTTATATAAGGGAGTTGAGCACCGGCGGGTGTTGGTGTCTGGGGGGGTCCTATTGTGTCACACATTTGCTTTAGTATTTTGATAATTGTCTGCAAAGTGATCATTTCCTCTGTAATCCCAGGTATTTAACTTTGTGCCTTCAAGAATGCTATTCCGTGAAGGCATTTCCAAGTATCGTGAGATTTTTGAGGGTTCTTAGGGCACTTGGGGTTAAGAACTCGGTTGCAGTCAGCATTTGGAAGCTCAGGCAACAAGCCAGAACTCACTTGGATTTGTGGCTCCAGGAACCCAGCCAGGGGACTTCTCCTGAGGACGTTGGACAGTGTTTCGGCTTGTGCGGCGCACGTGTGTATGCACACATGTGTGCATGTGTGCGGTGTGCATGTGTGTGCGTGGTATGTGGTGTGTGTGTGCATGTGTGTGGTGTGTGTGTGTGTGTGCATGTGGCATGTGGTGTGTGTGTAGTGTGTGTGCATGTGTGTGTGGTGTGTGCGTGTGGCATGTGCGTGGTATGTGGGGTGTGTGTGTAGTGTGTGTGTGGTGTGTGTGTGTGTGTGGTGTGCATGTGTGTGTGGGGAGCTCCAAGCTCCTCCTTTGCTAGGTCTCTGCAGCCCCATGCGGGCCGGGCTGTGGGGTGCCCCCTGGTCAGACAGCAGATGTCATCATGCCTTTCACTCTCGTGCCCATTTCAGTAAGAGACTGGAAGAGTCTCGGTGGCAGAAGCTGGAGTCTTTGTGCATTTGGGCTGCAGCCCCGCGGTGTCAGGGGAGCTCTTCTCTGCCCTGCGGACCCCTGTCGTCCCCAAGGAAGCTGCCCACCCGGAGAGGACGCAGGCAGGACCGGCAGAGACACTCCGAGTGTCTTTCTAATTTTAGCAGAACAAACAGGAAGTGCGAGCACCCATCTAGTAGTTGCTTCAGCTGCCAGCGTGCCCTGCACGCCTGCTAGTCAAGACGCGGGCTTTCACCTCTGGGCCCAGCCGGGCGGGGGCCCGACAGAGTCTCAGCTGCTCTGTCCCAGGCTGTCCGGGGAGGGTGGCGAAGTCTTCACATGTCACAGGACTCTCAGGACAGTTAGAACAATCAGAACAAGACTCTCTGAACTGTTTACTTTTGCACGAACCTAAATATAGCACATTGGCCCTATCTGTTAACTGTTCTCTGGCAATCTCTGGGTTCCTAGAACGAGGAAGACACATTTGTAAACGTTTTGATTTATCAGAAGTTGCATGGTTGGGAGCCGAGTGAGGGGGTGTTTACTGGTGATTTCACTTAAGCGAGTTGCCAGAGAAAGTAATTAAGGGGTGTTCTTTGAAGTAAAGCATGTGGAGCTATTGAGAGTTTGGTTTAGACATTGGCTGAACCTTAAGCTACCAGCCATATAAATCCTGAGTATGAGGGCTTTTCTTGGACTCTTCATTAAAAGTAGCCAGAGGGGTATGGTTCTGAGTTGGGGGCCCACTCTGCAGCGGGAAGCCCTCGGGGGTCTCACTGGTGACGCCGCCCCCTGCATCTGTCGCCACCGTCTTACGAGCCCAGGCTGCCGAGGCTGAGCTGAGGGCAGGGTGAGGCGCAGGGCTCATCTGTGTCCCCACACCCCAGAGACATGTGTCCCTTCTGTCACTGTCCCTGTGCTCTGCAGGTTTGAGGAAAGGGCAGAACCACTCGCACCGCCCCCCGTGGGAACATGCAGAAAACACATGCCTGACCCGCACCCCCAGAGTGGGGGGAGAGGCGGGGAGAGAATGTGCTGACGCAGCCGCCAGAAGGAAAACAATGGCGAGCCACCCACTGTGCACAAGCATCCAGGGCTCGTCCGGGGGCTGGCCGCTCCGCAGCCTGTGACCAGCGTGGGCCACCTGTGTCCTGGGGCTGCCTGTTCCCTGCCAGCCGTCCTCCCTCGGAACGTCCCTGCAGCCTGCCCGTGTCTGCGCGGCCAGAGCTCACAGCGGAATTCGATGCCGCTTTTTAATTATTTTCTAGTCATGTGCACTTTTACGTCTTCAAGCTCATCGTGTAATTTACAAGTAGGATTCATGCATTTTAAAAACTCAACATCATAACCGTGTCCTAGGTCGTTCAAATTCTTTGTAAACCTTTTTGTTTTTAAAAGTCTTTTCTGGCCCTGGCCAGTTTGGCTCAGTGGTTAGAGCATCAGCCTGCGGTCCAGAGAGACCCGGGTTCGGTTCCCACTAAGGGCATGTACCTCGGTTGCAGTTTGTCCCCGGCCCTGGTTGGGTCGTGCAGGTGGCAGCTACTCGATGTGTCCCTTTCACGTTGATATTTCTCTCTCTCCCTCCCACTCTATCTGAACAAAATATGGAAAAATGTTCTTGGGTGAGGATAAAAAAATAAGAAAATAAATAAACAAAAGTCTTCTCTGTTTATAACATATTTGTAAAAGAAAATTCAGACCACATGGATACAGCCCTCTGCTCTGAGATGGTCCCTGTCTGCAGACCCGTGGTACAGACGGTCAGTGGGACCTAACGTGTGTGCTGTAGGCACTGTGTCTGTGACTACGTGTCTGCACATATGTACAG